CCAAGCCATAGATATCAAGCCATAGATACCAAGCCATAGATATCAAGCCATAGATACCAAGCCATAGATACCATAGATATCAAGCCATAGATACCATAGATACCAAGCCATAGATATCAAGCCATAGATATCAAGCCATAGATACCAAGCCATAGATACCATAGATATCAAGCCATAGATATCAAGCCATAGATACCAAGCCATAGATACCAAGCCATAGATACCATAGATACCAAGCCATAGATATCAAGCCATAGATACCAAGCCATAGATACCATAGATACCAAGCCATAGATATCAAGCCATAGATACCAAGGCATAGATATCAAGCCATAGATACCAAGCCATAGATACCATAGATATCAAGCCATAGGTACCATAGATACCAAGCCATAGATATCAAGCCATAGATACCAAGCCATAGATACCATAGATAGTAAGCCATAGATACCATAGATATCAAGCCATAGATACCAAGCCATAGATACCATAGATATCAAGCCATAGATACCAAGCCATAGATACCAAGCCATAGATACCATAGATACCAAGCCATAGAGTTCAAGCCATAGATACCAAGCCATAGATACCATAGATACCAAGCCATAGATATCAAGCCATAGATACCAAGCCATAGAGTTCAAGCCATAGATACCAAGCCATAGATATCAAGCCATAGATACCAAGGCATAGCCTTGGAAACCATGTCATTGCGTTCTGCTCCGTTGTTTTCCTCCAAGAGAGTTATTTTGATTTTGTAAGATTTTGTAGCATATAGATTTAAATGAATGGTTAAAGTTTTCATCGTCTTTTGTTTCCTCCGTAAGGAGTGATTTTTGTTTAGATAATCTTTCATAGTCGAAAGAGTGCTGCACCCGCTATTTTGATAAAGTCGAAAGTCTTTTGTTTTTCCTCCTAGAGCGGAGAAACTTTTGTTTGATCATTTGTGTAGCCTCACTTGGAGGAAGTGAGTCATTTTGATAGTCGTATTTCTTTTCTCTGCCTTGGAGAGATTCAGTCTTAAAGACTACAAATCCCATGACAACCCTGCGTCTGTGTCCTGTGTTCTGCCGGGTCGTGACAGAAAAAGGCCTGAATATATTGATTGTTAATCTTTTCTTCAAATAACCTATTGAGTAAAGACCCTTAAACAGGCTTCATGGGACCAGCGCTCTTATCCAGTGTGCAGGTAGAACCTGAGGAATGATTGTCAATGAATCAAATCCTTTTCAAATGATCCATGTCACTCTAAAAGCATTCTTAAATAGGGTTATATATACGTATTTCCCACTTACAATCATTATGATGTATGTCCAACAACTCATTCAAATATCATCGCTTATATTTATAGTCAAACAGCAGGAACCTCACTAGGGAGAACTTAAGAACAAATTGAGAAACAGGCAGTCTATTCTTTTTTTTTACAGGGATAGTTAATGATAAAGATGAATAAAGGTTTGTGTTTGTTTTAAACCCGATCATGTGTGCAGGCAGGTGCGACCTTTGTGGATCAGCTCCAGTTACTGAACAATTGATTTAGCCTTGAACCTCAATCTCTCAGATTTTATTAGCGTCTTTACGTTGTGAACAAACAGAAGCGATGAGCATGAAGCAAGTGTATGCAAGCAATGTTGATTTAAAGTTACTTTCTTTGGAGCTTTGTTGCGAGAAAATGTGCATACAGATGTTGTGAAAATGTAAAGCCTCTAAACCAAAAATAGAATCAGACGCCATTTATTGGCACATATGTTACAGGAAGGAGGAATTTGACTCGGTGCATTGGTGCAATATAAGCTTAAAATATACGCAAGCAAGAATTAACAATATAAACAGATAAGTATGTTAAAACACGTCTGTATGTCCAATCTGAAAACTAAAGCTTATGATCCCCATGCAGCAACATAGACGAGGGCCTCACTGGGTGGAACCGCACGATTTGCAAACCGAACCTTTGCTGCTCCAGAGCAGGACCCCCGACCCCCGAGTGCTCCCGCTGTGTGGGAGGGTTGGATGCAATGCAATGAACGTCTCCTAAAGGACATGTAATAATGTAATGATTTCCATCTAAACAAACAGGTTTGCATTCTCAAGAAGAACCATACGCCTCATGTCCATTTATCCACACCTATAACCCATATCTGTACTATTCCTCAATGTTATAATCAAAATATGTAACCTATGCGCAATAATAAATACAGTGTGAAATATGCTTAAAAAGTAAAGGTGTAAACGTCTAAAAAGACAAACGCAACGATACGTGACAAAGCGCAACGGAAGACAGCGAGATTCATATATTTAAAAACTGGTCTATAAAACAGCGACAGTTCACTCCCTCAAACGCTATTGGCTCCCTGTGCAAACTGCAGCGTGTGCGCGCGGTGGCGAGATGAGGCGTCCTCCTGTAGCCACGCCCCCTGCCCCTGTGGCCGAGGAAACGGGGGCGTGGCCCGTGTGCCCCGCGGAGCAGGTGGCCGACGCGATTGGCTGAAGGCTCGGATGACGTAGCAGCGTGCCATGGTCCCACCGCCCGCCCGTCTGCGCTTAACCCCCGCAGGCAGCTCTCTCTTCCGCTCTCTCTTCCACCGCCGCTCTCACCCACAAGGTAAGAGGAGCGCGGCTCTTGTTGTGTCCGTTAGCACGTCTGTAATGTGTCGGTCCAGCCGCTCCGGCTCCGTCGTGCTGGGCCGTGAAGCCGATACCGGTTAACCGCCGGGATGCGACCCGTCCCAGTGGATGTGCGTCATCACGGGTCACCTGTGACATGTCAGCTGAGCGCTGATGGGTGTTTAACAGTTTATCAGTCAGCTCTAAGTAACTATGGAGGAAGGATCGTTGTTTAAAATATCACAGAGGAGCTTTGTTGGATTTGGGAGATTAAAAATTCCAAATAGTGTGAATGCAACGTTTTTAAAGTGGTTTAATGCGTCCGATCCCACATCTAACGCGGTTGGAGATCGTTTCCTGCTCTGGCAGATGTCCAACATATTAATCCTGCATGTGACGCGTAGGATTCTTTGTCTCCAGTTGGTAGGACGTGGAACTGGTTTGTCTCTCGGTTTTTGACAAACCTCAAAATAGAAAAACCCCTCTGACATCATCTGCGTGGAAGAAATGACAGGAATGTTGAGGGTAAAGCAGCAGAGAATAGGAGCACTCCTGTAAACGCCCGTCATCACACGTCATGATTGACTTCTAGGATCCCTGAACCCGCCCAGCGACATGCTGACCGGTCTGTTCCGTGTGCACGGCCACCTGGTGGCCTCCCACCCCTGGGAGGTCATCGTGGGCACCGTCACCCTCACCATCTGCATGATGTCCATGAACATGTTCACCGGCAACGACCAGATCTGTGGCTGGAACTTCGACTGCCCCAAAACCGAGGAGGTGAGTGGACGAGAGGACGCACGTGGCGGCGTGGAGCACGGTCCCGCTCCATCGTATGTGAATGATTCCAAGGAAACCTTGAACCAAAGGTGTTACAGAAGGTAGAAGACGCAAAGCATCATGGGAATAAGTGAGACGATGTAGACCCGAGCAGCCCGACTTACCACAGCTTCTATCTCTGATTAACATCACTTTGTTATAACAGTTTGTCGTCTCAGTCTAACGCGCTTATCGTTATAATATAACGCTGTTGTCATGACCAACCTAGTAAATATGTCCCTGCTCTCATTTCCCTCTTTTCACAGCAAATTCTGAGCAGTGACATCATCATCCTGACCATCACACGCTGCATTGCCATCGTCTACATTTACTTCCAGTTCCAGAACTTGAGACAGCTGGGGTCCAAGTACATACTAGGTAAGACGTGACCGGGCGCACCCAGCGTGTACAGGAGGCAGGTCTCTGACTGTCCCCCTCTGCTCTCCCGTAGGCATCGCTGGCCTTTTCACCATATTCTCCAGTTTTGTCTTCAGCACCGTGGTCATTCACTTCCTGGATAAAGAGCTGACGGGACTCAAGTAAGCGAAGCGCACGGTCCTCGTCTCGCCGGCGTGTTTGCGGACCGGCTCCAGCTGATGGCTCTGCTCTGTTTCCTGCAGCGAGGCGCTGCCCTTCTTCCTGCTTCTCATCGACCTGTCCAAAGCGTGCGCCCTGGCCAAGTTCGCCCTGAGCTCCGGTTCTCAGGTGTGAAGAAGATCGCCGTCGTCATCATCACAGTGCCCACGTGCGACATGGAACCCGCCGCAGCGCTGACTAGCTTCTTGTGCTCTGCTTCAGGATGAAGTGAGGGACAACATTGCTCGGGGCATGTCGGTGCTGGGCCCCACCTTCACCCTGGACGCCCTGGTGGAGTGCTTGGTGATCGGAGTGGGAACCATGTCAGGTACTCGCTGCCGCTGTCCGCTCATAAACGTCAAGCAGAAAGAAGGATGGCGCCACGTGGCTCCGACCCTCTGAAGGAGCAGCAGCTGCAGGGCGTTGGTCCTTCCTCTCCACAGAGCACCTGACAGAGCGTGACCTTTTGGGCAGCTGCCTGTGTTGTCTGCATGGGGAGGGCCTCCTGCTGTGGGGCCTGACGGTTCTGTCTTGTGTCTTTCAGGGGTGCGGCAGTTGGAAATCATGTGCTGCTTTGGCTGCATGTCGGTCTTGGCCAACTACTTTGTCTTCATGACGTTTTTCCCGGCGTGTGTCTCACTCGTGCTGGAGGTAAGCGTGCAGTTTATGTAGTGTTCTGTGTGTGTGTGTGTGTGTGTGTGTTGATGTCCGTGTTCTTGTCCTCCTATGCAGTTGTCCCG